TACATATATATATATATATATATATATATATATATATATATATTTAAATGGAAACATTTTAACTTCCATGTTGCTCTCTTATACAATCAGTTCCAACAATATCCAAAGAGTATTCATCCAAGTCGTTAACTAATTTTTTAGCTTTTCTAATGTTACCTTATTTTTTTCCTAACCATCCCCTTGATAGACTATAAAGGAAATCAGCTTCAAATTAGTTAATTCAGCTCCTAGGTATTAAAAATGGTGTTGATATTCTTTACAAGTGGCTTTAAAAAACAAATTACTAAAATAGAATAATAGGATTCATCATGGACTTTTCTGTCATCCATGTGTCCTATGCCTCCAGAAACACACATCATTGCAAAATGAATGGAAATCAGCATTATTCTCTCTAGATTATTTGAAAGTTCTATTTTGACTCCTAGCACAACCATGATATATGGCCACAAGCACTTGAGCAAGAATGTGGCCTTATCCAAACAGAAATTACTAGGATTCTCTACTTTTTGTGAGCAGAAGGCAAAAACACAAATCAAGTTGGTGATGGAGGGTTCATTCAACAGCATTCGGGTATTTAGCACATAGAGCAATGGTATGTCACTGGGCACAAGCAGATCTCAGAACATCACAAAATAAACGGTGACTTGTGAGGCTTGAAGACAGAACCTCTAATTCTGCAATCACAAATGAAGGCGAGTTGGACCACAATGTGAACAGTTAACACTCAATTTGACAAATAGGCAGGAGAAGTAAGCTTTTCATGTTTGCACGTAGGACCACTAGAAAACCAAATTAGAGGTAACCAACATCATTGATTAATACGTACTGAATGTTGCCTGGGAACTCTAAGAACCCACAATAGCTTTGTAAGGGTGAACACGCATAAGGGATAGATAATATGTTCAAGTCCTCTCTCTTCCTTAGGACTGCCACTGTACTAGAATTTATAAATGCAAGAACTATGCCAATGTTTTCACTGACCAGAACCCAAGAACACAGGCCCTGTGCCCCTCTTCCTTTTTCCTGCTCCTAAAAAATATTATATACTCAGACTACATCATTTTAACTTTTCCACATAAGTGCCTTCATTGAATTAGTGCTTTACTGATATTCTACTTTGAGCAAAGGTCGTTCTAAAAACCTGTCACATCAACTCTGCACCTGTATAAGCTATAAAGCTATTGCTGAAGACACGGTTCATTAAATTATGAGCCAACTAATAATAAAAAAATCTCTTCCATGGGGAATGGGCATTGTTCCTCTTTTCTTTTTGTTATGTTTGCTTTCTTTTTTAATTCGTACTTTGCCAATCTGTTTGTATATGCCTTCTTTGCAAAATTCTCCAAATCCTTCTTAGAAAGCACGTATAATAAATTTGATATACAAACTTAACTTTTATAATAATGGGAATAAAATGGTCAAAGTTGATCCAAAAGAACTAAACTCATGAATTTTGTAATCAGTATAATACTACCATTGACAGACCTTTTAGTTATTAAACAATTCTTCAATACATATGATTGTTATCTAAAAACTGATGAGATTAGTTAAATTACTGAGTTCAAAATTTTCAGTTCTATAGTTTGCCTCTATGATAATTTCATTTCTATTACCAATGCTTTTCTATCACCAATCCCAGTTTCTATGGAAACCAATGGAAGACTGAGATGAGAAGAAAGCAAAACTTATAAATTTTTTTTCTTTTAAAATAGGAACATTTTAATCACAAATACTATACATAAACAAAAACATCATAACGAAGATATTCAACACACACACACACACACACACACAGAGAGAGAGAGAGAGAGAGAGAGAGAGAGAGAGAGAGAGAAAGAGAGAACGAGCGCTTTATTAGAAGAATCTGGCCTCATTCATGCTAGTGAATTCTTACAAATATATTTGGTTTCACAAATGGAAATTATCAAGTTACTGATAAAGATTCTTCTTGTAAACCCCAAGAAAGAAACAATTCTCTTGGTTTAACCATTTAAGCAAGTGCAGCTCATAGTGATAATAAGTGAAGGTAATGGCTCTATTGATTTTCATTTGGAAAACGTTGTAGAAGCAAGCAAGAAGATAAGTGGGGAAATATTTAAAAACTAGGCTTAATAGTACAAGCAACAATGGCTACTCAGCATTATATAAAGAGTCGTTTTTTCCTTCGAGTTGGAGTTATACATTATTTTACTTTTTTCTTTTGTGTGTTTTCCAAACTTCTACACTTTGCATAAGTAACTTTTATTACGTGAGTATATAAATGTTATTGAAAGATAATTGAGGCTCGTATCAATGTTACTCTTATCTTAATAGGCATTTTACTTTGGTCAGGCTTATTATCTGTTCTCAGATAATATGATGGGCTAAATCAATAAATGTGGCAACAATTGTGTTTAGTTATACATTTATCAAAGTTCTCAGTTTCCACCAAGAGTGCTCCTGTTTTCCTAGGTCAGCTCATGGCCACATAGAAGTCGTCAGGTGAGAAATGTTAAAGACACAGGTTGTACTGCCTAAATATTATCTTTTTGCCACTGAGATGGACTTGACTCATTTTGCAAATAATCCTGTGGGATAGCACTGTCCAATAGAACTGTCCATGAAGATGGAAAGGTTCTAGATGTGTGCTGTCCAATATCATAGCCACCAGCCATAAGTGGCTCTGGAATACTGGAAATGTGGCAGCGTGATTGAGAAACTGAACTGTAAATAGGCTACCATATTGAACACTGCTATAGTTGTTCCCTCACCTAGGCCAAGATCAGCATCCCTGAGTCAACATCCTTTGGTCAAGGACAGTGTTCCCACAAGCCACGGTCCTGCCAAATTCCTAATGTTACTGAGATAACGCTTTTCCTAAAAAATGATTACTCAGTTTGTATACCATGCTTATATTGGAGCCAAAGATTTCTTATAAATAAATTCTTTTTAAAATCTGAATACCTTTCCTTTGTCTCAGATAAAGGAAACACATTTTTTTGCCTTGTCACTCTTTTAAAAAAATATGCTTATATTGATTTTGAGAGAGAGAGAAAGGGAGAAGGAGATAGAGAAACATGGATCAGCTGCCTCCCATATGCATCCCGACCAGGGAACAAGCCCGAAAGCTGTGCATGTGCCCTGACCAGGAAGGGAACTGGCAACCTTTTGGTGCACAGGACCATGCTCGACCAACTGAGCCACACCAGCCAGGGATGCCTGTTCACTCTTTAAAAGTATATTCAGACATCAGCATATAGAGTCTACATGGTTGATTTAAACGTTGGCTCCACGTTTTCAAAAAATAATTTGGAAATAACTAAAAAAGACTCTTCTTAATTGGAGTAAATAAATGCTACTCTTTTTTTCAAGTTTCAGGTTGGGATTTTACTTACTGTTTCTACAAACCCTTGGAAATTTTAAACTAAAATCTGTTTCCTTACCGAAACTTTTTTTCCTCCTTCACGCGCACACTCTGCTTTGTTATTGTAGGGTGGTTCATGTGGGCTGGGCTGCTGGAATTGATTGTTTTCATGTAGAAAAAGTTGTTAAAGGATCTGTTTGTTCTTTAAGACACATATAAAGAATCACATGGAGTCAGCAAACATACCATAGAAGAAACAATTTCTAGGCCAAATTGTAGGGCCTACCAATCTTGGCAGGGTTCCTTAAACGAAGAGCGGACTTTGGGGCCCATAATGAGGCTCTATTCAGCAGGCCAGTGTAGCTAGGTCGGGAGAAGAGAGAAGAGGAAGAAACATCCCAGGCAGGAGAGACTGTGTGGATCTAGTCCTCATTCAGCCAGCACTTAGTTTACAGGCAGAGAACAGACACCAGGACACACTAAGACTGAACAGAAATGGATGTATTGCTAATCAAAGGATGAAAATTTAGCTCCATTATACTTTACCCTGGACCTAAGCCTTCCTGAGGGTCATCAATACATATAGCACACACAGTTGACAGCTCCAAATCGGGGCCTTTCCTGTACACCTGCTCGGGATGAGCAGAGACGATGCCCTCAGGCCATGTGTAGGTGGAAATCTGCACTGTTTAGGAAAAAGTTAAAGTGTAGCCTGCATGGTTAGAGTTTGTCTCTGGGTTAGAATGCATTGTAACACACAGCTGCCGGAAATCTCAGACACCAGGACAAACAGTTCTGTAGGGGACAGGTACATTCGGCCACGTGGGGAGCAAGACGAGCCCACCTTCCTACATGGAACCTTGCCACAAAGCCTCTGTATATTAAACTGCAAAAGCATTGTCACCAGAGATGGGCTTCACCGGATTTTGAGGAACTGAAATAAGCTCAAATACATTAAGCCTATTGTGTAGCGCTGCGTTGACAAGCCATTTATAAGCATGCACCATCACCTATAGTTTATATAACTACACCAGTGAAACCATAAATTTCCACTTCAGACACCCAGAGACAATAATTTGGAAGCTAACTCAGCCACGTAAAAGTGGACTAGGTCCACAGATGCAAGGTCTTAATCAATCTGAATTTGAAAGAAAATCAGGTTGAGGTCTCTAAGGACCAGATGCAAACAGAAACTTGGACCCCTAGGGCCCTGGTATGATAAGTTTTCAAATTCGGTGACCACAGTTAGTGGGGAAACTTGGGTAACGTTTCCAAATAGTACAACTAGCAGCTTGTACAACCTAGGAAGCTGCGCATCCTGTTTCAGAGAACATGTATTTATTTAGAATGTAGTCTTTTTCAAGTGGGTCTGCATTATTTCCTAAGAAATCGAAATTAAATAATTCCCCTTTCCTAATAATCAGGGAGACTTACGGTATTTCCAATGAAGAAACAAAGAGGGCACAGGTACTAATAAGTAACTTTATATGACTTGGAATATGGTGGTACAGGAGCACTCAGGGAACTCCAGTACAAAGCCCTGAGCTGGAGTGGACAAGTCCACAGAATCACGGCCAGGCTCATTAATGCAGCCTGGACTCATAGTTGCCCACACCATGCCAGTGCCGTACCAGGCACCTGGGTGCATAGTCCACCAGAGATTTAAACTGGTGGTCCCTGGAAGAGCAGAGAACACTGAGGTAGCCATGGGGCCTCACAGACAATGAGCTGGTGGCTGGGAGGGACTTTAGAAAAAGGAAAAAGGACAAGACTGAGGGTGGCAGAGGGAAAGAAGCAAGAAACAGCAATCCAGCCTGGAGCAGTAGGGAGAGAAAGCAGAGAACAGCTAACGGAGCTTGCAGGGGCCAGAACGGAGGGGACAAGAGAACCCAGGGAGGGGACCCAGACAGCAGCAAAGAGAAGACACAGTAGCAGAGAGAGAGAGAGAGAGAGTACCTGCGAGAGAGTTAACGAGAGGGCTCTGAGCCAGAAGCAAGAGGTGAGGAGAAGTTGAGTCTTCTGGGTCTTTTTTTTCCCCTGCTGAATAGAGCCTTGATTATAGTGTTACCCAATGTCTGGTAAATTTTAGTCTATTCTCTTAACATTTCATGGCAAGAACTACATGAATGCAAAAGGCACCCCAAAGCTAAGAACCCTGAGTCAAATGTGGGCGAAAAACTCGTGCTATAGCTGCGATTAACACCCCAATGTAGGTATATTATTATAAAGGGTGATTTTTCAAAAAAATTTTTTTTAACCACCAGGTTTATTTTCGTTCCCACTCCAGCCCAATGAGCCTAATGTGAGTCAATCCCCCCCCCCTCCGCCAGTAACAGCTGTTCTTTTGAACCTTATGAATAGGCATCTGATTTAGATTTGAAAGAAATCATTTTAGAAGTGGGTGCAGACTCCCATAAGCACAACTCAGATAAATCCAAGCCAAGGCACCACAGACTTCTTTAAAAATCAAGAAATCTGGTGACCAGCAAGGAGTCAGAGTTACTGTTAAATCTAAACCCAGTGGATGCATTTTCCTCCTTCAGGCTGTAAATTCAGGCATAAGTGGTTTCGAGACCATTCCCTACTTGTGAATTTAATATAGAAAATGTATCTGCAGCTCAACTACAAAAGGGGGAAAGTTTCTTTCAATTTTATTGGAGCTCAGCTCCAATATGACTTCGTGGCCTCTGTTAGAGAAAAACATTCTCACATAACGAGCTTTTATATCATTAAGTTGGACATGAAATAACAGTTGATGGTAGCAGCCCCTGCAGGAACTGTCTGGTTTGTGACCCACCATACTGATGCCTAGTTTGCTTGCCTAATCTGGGCAGGGTTTTAGGTGAATACAATAAATAAGTTTAACTTGACCAAGACTGCATGTATGTCCCATGCAATTCCTACAGAATACTATAACAGTGAGAGGTCTGAAAAGCCATTTAAGCTACTTTTTCCCTATAGAAAACAAAAAAAAAAAGCAATGGGGCTTTAAGAAATTTAAACATAGCATATATTGAAGTGCAAACCTACTAAAAATGATCATTTAAATACTTACAATTCCATCTCTATCGGGTGAACCTCTGTAACAAAAAGAAATTTGTAGCTATTAGGAAAATGAATCATTCTTGCTACATAGACTAAAGTATAACAAGAAACATTAACCGCCTCTCTCCCCCTCTCCCCTGTTCTCACCCCAGTAAATCCATCTAATGCAAACTAAATCAAAACAAATTGGTCCAGTGGTATTTGAGTGTGAGGAGTGTGTATGTGTATGTGGGAGCGAGATTCTCATTAAAAGCTGAAGTCCAAAAGGCACCAAGTTGCTGCAGCAGTTTTGGTCCCCTTTGAAGAGGCGAGCTCATTAAGTGTCTGTCCCAGTCTATGGCTCCATTTAAAACTAGCACTGGGAATGTAAACCAACTGGTTGGTTCTCTCTCATCTTCTCCATGGGAGTGGTCTTAAATTCCCCCCATAAGAAGAAACTACTATGGTATTGTTCAACTTACTTTGAGAATCTGTATTTTCTTCCATATTTCTCTATTTATTGCTCCACTGATTATAGGAAAGCAGGAAAGGGAGGGCAATGTTTCCTCAGGGCTCACTCTGATGACTCAGGGGAGTTCACCATGGTGGCACTGTGTGTGCCACAGTGCCCAGGAGTAAGGGCTGTAGAATAGGATGACTCTGAGTGTCCAGACTCCACCACTTGTTAGTTCTGTAACCTCTGTAAGCCAGCTTAGATCAAATAATGTATATAAAGAATTTATAACAGTCCCTGATACATAGCGAGTATTAAAAAATGTGGGCTATAATTTTTTCCTCTTACATAATGTCTCTTCACTAGGAACACAAGACTGTCCACATGCAGCCACATTAGACTTTGTAGCAATAGAGGAAGTGCAAATGGTTGTGCAAAATAATATCGTTATTTTGAAAAACTGAACTGGAGGAGCCAGAGGAAGGAAGAAGCAAGAGGGTGGTCACCGTATCTTTTCCTCTTTTAATTCACTCTGCAAGGAGTTTAAAAAAGTTACCCTTTAAAACACAGAGACCAAATTATGCCTAGATGGGGACCTGCATTATTTGGAAGAAAACCTTAAGTACTTGAGGTGGACTGCGAAATCTTGAGGAGTTTGGTGTGGTTGGAACTGTTCTTTAGGAGGTGGGACAAGGTGATGAAATTATTTATTGCTTCATAGGGTGGGGCAGAGAGAGAAATGCAGAGAGTCAGTGGGACATCTCCTGGGCTCCAAGATGAGACTCCCCTTCTCCACCAACATCTCCTCCTAAATTAGCAGAATATTTTTACTTGGATTGCAAAACACTTGATGGGGGTTCATCGTTTTTCATAACCAGTTCTGTGCCCATGTGGATACAGGGGCTAGAAGCTGATAGTGCAAGACCATGGGAGTTGACAGAAATCTTAGGGTCCTTGGACATTCCCTGGCTATGGGAATTAGTTGGTTTAAAGAAATTTCTTCTAAATTAGGACAGGAAGAGTCTTAGCTCATTAAACTTATAATTCATTGAACAAACAGTGAGTGCTTATAATTGGCCAGGCACTAGGCTGGGATCTGGGGATAAAAACATGAAGCCATACTCATCACAGAAAGAATAAGACAGGCAAGTAAATCCAGTGAGCTATCATGGCCACAATCAGCTCAGGTGCACAGGAAAGTACAGAAAAAAACTACCAACTCACACTCATCAAAACCAACTTTTCTTTTTAGAACTATCTACTGCAAAAAATAAAAGTAAAAAAGAGCATTTCTTACTAGAATTTTAGCTTCTGCTAAAGGAATTGATAAAGAGGTGATTGTATCAACTTTTGCATAGGATATATCCACAGGCACTGATCCTTGTGGGGATGTCTTTGAGGGCAGCAAGTAATAGATATAGAGAAAACAATCTCTGGCGATAGGTCTGGCTGTAGTGCTGCCCATTATTGGTCCAGATACAAGAGTATTCTATAGAGCATCTTAAAGAAGCCACTTGATCTCCTGCATATTGCAGCTATAGGGATGGCAGTTCAGAAATTTTAATCAGAAAAATTGTAATTGTATATAGCAGCATTGGTGTCCTCTTCTGATCCTTTGGTCTTATCGTTGATGGAAATGGGGCTGGTGCTTCCTAGGGTAGTGACAGTAAGCATGGTGGTTAAGAGCACTGGCTCTAGGGCCAGATGCTTGGGTTCATTCAACCTAAATTTCCTGCATAATCTTGGGCAAGTCACTTCATCCCTTTGTATCGCAGTTTCCTCATCTACAAAATGGCCATGATAATAGCATACAGATATACCCCACAGGACAATTAGAGGATTCCATGAGTTTATAGAAGTGAAGAGCCCAAAATAGTGCCCAGAACATAGTAAATTCTCATTGAATGTCATCTAGAATACACTTACTATATAATATGACCTTGGATGGGGAGTAGAGAGATTTTAGCAGCCTCAGACACTTGAAGTTCTCAATTCACTTCCTAACCCTTCTTAGGAAATTTCATATTTTATTTTTAAGTGATTTTTAAAAAATTTAATAGCAGACCCATTTACTGACTTCTATTTTAAAACTAATCATCTACCATGGACCCTTTGCCTCTGGTTTAAAAAGTGCCAGTTACCACTGCCTTTTTTCTGATACCCTTCTATTGATATTGATTATAATTTTGCCCATCTGTTCTTTTTCTTCTGGGTGATAAAAGCCCAGGTGCTTGATTCTGGACAAGAATACTAGTTTCAAGTCTTGTTTTCTGGGTAACATTCAGCAACTTAATCCCTTTTGGCACTGATTTCTCATCTCTAAAATTGAGATATGACTTCTAACCTTACTGAATTACTGTGAGGATTAAAAGGGATATCAATGCATATAACAGAGCCTGCACAGGGCTGGTCACTTAACACAGGCTCTTTCCTTTCCTCTCTCTACCAGGCACTGTAATGATGATTAAATCAGGAAGCTCTGGTCCTAACCCCACTCTAACTAAGGAGGTTCAATCAGCTGAAGTTGGGGCTGGTGGTACACCCTGAGGGAACTGCAACAGCTGTGAAAACAGTTGGCATCAACAAAGTTTCAATTATAGCAGATTAACATAAGCATTACCTATAGCTGAAGGGACAGCAAATTCCCAGAGCATTTGGCCAACCTTTTGTGAGAATGATGTATGACCCGATTAGAGACAGGGGTTCATAAAAAGCAAAGGCTGACACTAAACTGTTGATCTTTTGACCATCACTGCCACTGGGACCAATTTATGGCTAATTTGCTATCACATAAGTATTTTGGGGTGCTCCAGTGATAAGTTAAGGAGACATGCTTGGGATTCTACAGGCACATGTCTCATCAAAGTACCTCAGATAGATATTGGGCACCTATCAAAGCCATGAGGAAAAATTCCTTACTTTCATACCTTTAGAAATGGTGATGGAAGAGCAGAGCATGTTCGAATGCAAATTAGCTCTGCCTGCTCTGGGGAGGTTGTTTGATCTCTTTTCCCTTTTGAGGGAAATTTTTCCTTTTTAATTTTCTTCACAAACCAGAGATTATGTGCAGTCAGTTGCAGACACTGTCTTCAAAGAAAAATAGATTTGATTTCTGCTAATGATGGTCTCCTGAGATGTGTGTGTCTAACGATGCCCCACATACCCAATGGCACATTATAGGTGACAAGAGATGTTGCTGACAGGCTGACTGGTACAGTGTCTGGCTCTTCTGGGAACTTAGATTCCATCTAGTGTAAACTGAGGCCAAGGAAAGGAAAAGCATATTCCCAAGGCTGCGGGAATGCTGGCAACGCTGGAAGCAGAGCCCAGGTCTGCAGGCTCCAGTGACAGAACCATCATCTGTTTTGGAGGTTGTTTAGAAAGGGGCAGTTTCTTTTTTTTTTTTTTAATATATTTTATTGATTTTAGAGAGGATGGGCAAGGGAGAGAGAGATAGAAACATCAACGATGAGAGAGAATCATCTATTGGCCGCCTCCTGCACGCCCCCCACTGGGGATCAAACCCGAAACCCAGGCATGTGCCCTTGGCGGGAATCGAACCTGGGACCCCTCAGTCCACAGGCCGATGCTCCATCCATTGAGCCAAACCAGACAGGGCAAAAGGGGCAGTTTCTTAAGAAATAATAGTAATTATGTAGTCCTCAAAAAATATTCCTGAGGAGATCAACCAAAGGACTTGTATGCATGCATATAAGCATAACCAGTGGACACAGACACCAGGGGGGTGAGGGCATGAATAGAAGGTGGCGGGGGGGGGGGAAGAGGGGGTTATAGGGGGATAAGGACACATATGTAATACCGTAATCAATAAAAAAATATTCCTAATTCAATCATTTTGAACAGGGGTGAGGAATGTCTGGTGCTCGGGCCTATAAGGCCCACAGAATCATTTTGTCTGGCCCTGCCAAGGCAACTGCAGGCGGGATTAAAAAATCAATAAACCTGGGAACTTTTTTCATAGCAACAAAAATTTATATTAAGTGAATTATATTAAGCAAATGATGTTATACATATCCAAATGACCCTTGGCAGAAAAAAAGGTTCCCTACCCCTAATATAGAACAAGACTAGAGTAAAGGTAATTTTCATGAAATAATTATTTACCAAAAGAAAAAGCACAAAGAAAATGTAAGAACAGGTGACTTAATATTTGCTATCTATATTAAAAAATAGCTTTTATTTTCCCCTAAGCCTTTATATTCTCTGGCTTCAAGGTTACCCACTGCCTAGAGAAGGAAGCCCAAGTGACACAGCCTGGCACTTACTATCTGGTCCTGATGTCCTTTCCAGATTTGCCTCCAATGATCATTCTTACCTGGTAAGAATGGTAGGCCAACTGCCTTATTTGTCTTGTCCTGAATACCAGTTGACTTTTCCACCTCGCTGCTTTGGCTGTTGTTCCTTTAGCATGAAATGCCTGTCCTCAACTTGAAGGTCAAACTCGAAGTTCTTCCCTCCCTGAAGCTTCAGTGATCATCTGTCCAAATGTGAGCTTTTCTACCCTCAAACTCCCATGAACTTCATTTTTATTTGCTCATAAGGAACTTACCACATATTAATTTGTATTAGTAATAATGAGTAGTGTTGCTGCCATTTATTGAGCATTTACTAAGTAATAGGTCCCAAACTAGTCATTTCAAATGTTATTTCATTTTGTTATATGAAAGCTACTTCAGTTTGTGTGCTAGATATTTTATCCCATCTATAATAATAAAAGGGTAATATGCTAATCAGACCGGACATCCTTCCAGACAAAGCTGGAGCTTGAGGAAAGCAGCCCTGGTCCCGGGTGCCTGCTGGTGGCTGGAGGAGGGAAGCCTGGGTCCGGGGTGCCTGCTGGCGGCCAGAGGGAAACCTGGGTCCCAGGTGCCGAAGGGAAGCCGGTGCCAGCAGCCGGGGGGAGGAAGGCCTACTCTTGCATGAATTTTCATGCATCGAGCCTCTAGTGAATTATAAAATCTTGGAGGACAAGGACACAGGCAATGCTAAGCAGCCTGTGATAAAATGTATGCACGATAAAAAATATAAAGGAAGAAAAGCTAAAGGTGATAAGTAAATGTAACCTTCTCCATTTTTACCTGTGCCCAAGTAACTATTGGTTTTCACATTTTCTAACTTTCTTTCATGGATTCCAGCCAAATGATGGGTTTAATGGGCTCATTATTCTGATTTATGCAGACCACACAAGGTCTTCAGTTTTACATGGCCACAACCAGCTGCAGGGGAGTAATGGTGCAGTCATTACACCGGTCTTGGCTGGAATCCTGAGTTCCAGGCCTTCTTATTTTCCATGTGTAAGTTACATGCCTGCCTCTAAGCGGCACCTGAGATTTTTGTGTCCGAGCTAAATACTCTACAGGACTATTCAAGATGGTCAAATAAATGGAATAGAATTGTTACATCATTGGACATTTTCAAGATGGGTTTATTAGAGTCTGTGGGCAATTGATGATCTTGGGTGTGATCATTTAAACATGTGAAAGTATCCACAGGGTTATTTCTGGCACTGGCTTCTTATTTACAGCCAAATAGCCTATCCTGTGAATTCTGTTGGTTGATTTACAGTTTTGCTTGTACAAAATCTTGGCATCAAGTAAAAGCTTTGGAATGTTATCTGAACAAATTTTTGTTTCTGGCTAGGCCTAATCTACCTAAACAGGTGTTTTTGCTTCTTCATTTCACTCAGAGCAAACCTAGAGGTGGTAATAAATACTCTTAGTCCCCACAGAAGTAACAGTAACACTTCCTGCCTCCCAGATTTCTGGGAAGCGTGGTTATCAAGTTATAAAATAATAACATGTGATGAAAAACTGAACACATGATGAAAAGTCTTTATCTTTGTAGAGTAAATCTAAGAACCATTTATGCCTAACAGTTACAATTTACCCAGAAACAGAATAGTACACAATATCCAAGAAGACTCTATGTCCTCTAAGCGACAATGACAACAACATCTCTTTGAGGAGGCAAACTTTTAAAAGACTTACGTAGAATCAGTGTCCTTTTCTTTCTTCCGTATCCCAAAGGCCTTCCTTGTACGTTTTTTCAATCCTGTGGGAAAACAACAAAGGGTCAAAGCAATCTATTTTTTATTTGAATGTTCCTGGCAACATTCATATAAACATAATTTAAAAGTTGCAACACATCCCTTAAATTTGAATGTTCAAAAAGCAGGGAAAGTTTCTTCAATCGGGTGTATATATATATGTGTGTATGTGCATATAATTCACTATTATATATATGTGTGTATATATATATATATATATAAATATATATATAATATTTTTATTGATTTTAGAGAGGAAGGGAGAGGGAGAGAGAGATAGAAACATCAATGATGAGAGAGAATCATCGATCGGCTGCCTCCTGCACACCCCACACAGGGGATTGAGTCCACAACCTAGGCATGTGCCCTGACAGGGAATTGGACTGTGACCTCCTGGTTCATAGGTCGATGCTCAATCACTGAGCTATGCAGGGCCACTATTATATTTTCCAACAGATGTCTAGCAAAGATTCAGCGCTGTAAGTTCTTAGCACCATAAGAAACAGAAGAATGTAAAAGAATGAAAAGGAGATCAGGGCATGGTATTGCAAGCTTTTCTTAGAATATTGTTATTCATACTCAAATTGGCCCCACCAAAAAACCAAGTTACAGATTTAGAAGAATAGCAATTTCCCGGTTAGATATATTCTTGAGACTTGGATAATTCCAAGACACAGAATATGGAAAAAAACATACCAGGAGAGCTACACTGGCCTGATACATCTTTGTTTCCCATATTCCCATCTCACCTTTTTCTATTTCTTCAATTCTGTGGCTAGACTGGATTGTTAGCCATTCTTAGAATATACCCCAACATCTGTAGTCCAGTATCTGTTGCTTCCTTATGTGGTCCTTACCTCTGGCTAAAATGCCTTTCCTATTTTGTTGATATTTAGAATGTTAATTCATCCTTTACATCCTAGCCAATGTCATCTCAGCGAGGCTATCTCAGTCCTGGTGGTGTAAGAAACTGACTATCCTGTGCTTCTCCCAAATGTTGCTCTTGTATCAACCTGTTTCACTTACTAGTTCCTGTGTCTGTTACCCTGCTAGGCTGTCGGTCTTTCTATGTCAGAGGCCAAGGTTCCTACATTTGTATGTCCCTTATACCAAGTGCAAGTACCAGATAATATTTGTTGACTTAAAATATCTCCCAGGAAGCATCACGCAGGTAGGGTAGAGATAAGGAGACTCCTTTCTGCCATCCTGGACAAAGCCCAGTCTTCGTTTCTCCATTCTTACCCTGTCAAGGCTTTGCTTGAGATTCACATTTCCTATATGTTCCACAGTTACATGTGTGACTTGTGTTTCTCATGTTAGTGAGTGTTATTCAAACATGCGAAATGCCTACATATTCAAAACCTTAGGTATTTTTCCGGTGGTTTGGAAAGTCTTCTTGACAAATTGGAGTGGAAAGTCACTGACTTCAGGGTTTGTTTGGCACTATCAGGTGGAACAAAGGGAAAATCATGACAGACTCAGTGATTTGATGACACCTTCTTCCAAAACATGTGAGTCAGCCCAAATTTCTCACATTATCTGAGTCACTCATTATTTGGCTTTTAGGGTACTACTCAAATTTAATCTCCAAAGTGCATCTGTTCAGTCTAATTTTGCATTTTCATAGTTATTTCATATAAAACATTTAGGTCTTTAAAATGTCAATGTTTGTTTAAAAAAATACGTCCCACATAAACGTATTCTTCCTTTCTCTCCACAGGAGAAATTTTAGGAAAACAAAGTTATTGACATTTAAAAAGCTAGTCACCTACAATATTTAGGACACTTTGGCTCCGTTCATTTTTAACTTTGTTAAAAACTTTCTTCCTTCTCACCTCTGCCTTACCTCCTTATAGAGACAAAATATCAGTTACAATCATCATTTCCTCCTTTAATTTTCCTTGGGCTTCTGAGTCTCTTAATTGGTTCCTCCATGCTTCTAATTTAGCTTTGGGTTAATAATGAATGTTATATTCATTTTATATATATAAACTAATCACTACTGGTTTTTATAGGACCATAAAACAAATGCTATTATTATATTACGTTTTATTTTCTAGAACTTTAACATGATTAAGAAATAGCATGCCCTACCAAATAGATCAGAAAATACATGCAAATTCCCGTAATTCTTGTATTAAATTAGTAACAAAACAGGCAACAGTAGTTTTTCATAGACTGTCCTGTTTTTGACCACCAATCTGGACAATAGCCAATATGAACTAGGTTATGAATGTCACGAGTTGTCCATTTTCCAGTGAAAAGTACACTGGATCGGGATTCAGAAGACAGAGTCCATTCCCAGGATCATTTCTAATTGTGGAGTTGAATACAAGTTACATTCCTTTTGGATTTTGATCTCTCAAGCCTATAACAAATCAGCCAATAATACTAAAGGATAAAAGAATTTGCACATGTTCACAAAATGCTATGCAAATTTGTATTTTTAGTTTCATTGAAAGTCATGTTTCCCATATGTAGGATACAGCTATACATGGAATATATACAGGAATACACTAAAGATGTGACAGTACAGAAAATCAAAACAAATCCAACTGGTGAACTAAAAAAAAAAAAATCATTAAAACCTTTTTCTCCCATAAAAAGTGGAAAAGATTGAGGAAGTTTAGGAAAGTATGAAGAAAACTCTGAAAGAATAAAGCAAACAAAGTTATAAAATGTAAAAGTCATTCATATCTTAGCAGCACTTTGAGAAGATTCAGGAAGAAACAATTGCACCAACTGTGTTAAAAGTTAGTAGGCCAGAGGGAAGGGGATGGGCAAAGGCTGGGTGGAGGTGGGCAAAGGGGGGGGGTGGGGGGGATAGGGACAGTTGCAAGTGTAAACAATAAAAAAAGTGAATGGAAAGGTGTGGGTATGTTTTTTTAGAGTTTATTTTAAAATTTCAAAGAAATTCTTTGAAAAAATGATGGTCAAAGACCTTACAGGGATAACAAGTGTTAGACACTATCTATAATAATAAAAATGTAATATGCTAATTGGACCAGACAGCCAAACGACCTTCTGGACGTCCTTCCTGAGATCCTTCTGGACAATTTTCCAGATGAGGTTGGGGCTGCGAAGGCTGAGGCAGCCAGGGCTGCGAGGGCCGAGCCCCTTGAATGAATTTCGTGCACTGGGCCACTAGTATATGATAATCTGATGAGCTTAACAAAACACTATGTCTAATGATTCTTCATTTATGATCCCAGAACTCCATGAACATTTAAAAGTAATTTTCTACAGTGTAGTTTTTTCTGGGCTGGGACATGAATTTTTTTGGTCAACTATATATTCTTTACCAAAATAGGAGGGAAAAATAGTGTTTTTGAGAAATGAAGTGACTTTTCCCTTGCCAATATATCAAAACAGAGAGCTCTAAAAAAAATGTTATTGTTTTGATGATCGGGGACAAGAAGGGTTCTCTCCCAAGCTGTGGAACTGAGAACATTTTCCAGTGTGCATCCAGAACTGCTTTCTTAGATCAGCCACACAGGAAGTCTGGCCTCTAGATTCTCTCCACCTAATTTAGATTCTTTTAGCTTCCTTTGGGATTATGGGAGAAGCTAGTCAAGTCTGGGAACAACAACAACACAATTAAAAACAGACTGATTTTTAAGAGGGTAGGAATGCTTATTTCAAAATAGGCAGTCCTGGATATGACATCCTATCTAATAAAGAGGGAATATGCTAATTGACACTCACACCATCGCAAAGATGGCAGCACCTACAGCCAATAAGGAGGAAATATGCTAATTGACTGCCCTTCCGTCGAAGATGGCAGAGCCCACAGCCAATAAGGAGGGAATATGCTAATTGACTGTCCCACCCTCAAAGATGGTGGTGCCCACAGCCAATGAGGAGGGAATATGCTAACTGACTGTCCCACCCTCAAAGATGGTGGTGCCCACAGCCAATAAGGAGGGAATATGCTAATTGACTGTCCCACCCTCAAAGATGGTGGTGCCCACAGCCAATAAGGAGGGAATATGCTAATTGACTGCCACACCCCCAAATATGGTGGTGCCCACAGCCACAAGATGGCAGTGCCCAAGTCCCCCCAGCCTTGCCGCACACCTGCCTCTGGAGTCCCACAGTCCCCTCAGCCCCCCAGCTGCCCAGGGCTGGCCCGAGGCACAGGCAAGCCTTGGATAGTGGCTTCCCACCTACCCAGGGCCACACAAGGCTCAGGTAACCAGGGCCGGCTGAGGCTTGTGCTGCCGGCAGTGGCAGCAGCAGAGGTGTGATGGGGCGTCGCCTTCCCTTGATCGCCGGGTCGCCTCCCTCCCCTGAGGGCTCCCGAACTGTGAGAGGGGGCAGGCCGGGCTGAGGGACCGCCCCCTCCAGTGCATGAATTTTCATGCACTGGGCCTCTAATAAGATAATGAAATAAAGCAACAAATGTAGCAACTGACAACAGAGATGCGACACATGGACAGTACAAAAAAAATTTCATTATTGTAACACTGCTAGCTACCATTACTGAGGTCCTGACTATTGGCCAGGAACCAGTTGCTTTGCATATATTGTCTTTTTTAATTCTCTTACAAACCTTGTGAAAAAATAGAAGGTGTTTTCATCCCAAGTGATGGCCCTAATGGTTTGACTAAGTTAGATTTTATTATCATCATCTCCAGGGAGGAAACTGAAGGCTCCTCTTCTACCACTGCTCCCTCAAATGTTGAAGTTCTTCCAGACTTTGTCCTAGCTGCCTCTATATCCTCTACCTGAGGCAAGTCCATCCACTCACATGGTTTCATTTGCCATCTGTATGTAGATGAACTGTGAATCTGTAGGTGAGGCCCAGTACTATCTCATGAGTTTATGAATATGCAGTACTTTTTCTCAGAGTCAGGCTTTTATAAATCGACATTAGATTTCTTCAAATGCCTCAAGGCTCCATTTATTATACATACTAGTGCTAACTGAAAGAAGCCAGATATAAAAAATCATATATAGTATGATTTTACTTATATAAAATTTCCAAAGTAGGATGTTTCATTAA